ACACTTTCATTAGCCTTATAACCTCTTGGGTAGTTGGCAACCCCATAGTGTCTTTAATATAATGAAATGTGTCATAGATATTTGACATCAATCATATAATGGATTATTTGTTAAAAATATATACAGTTATTGCAAAAATATAAAGATATCACGAATTGTAGTGATTATATTATTACAAACGATTACAAACAAAGAACGAATGCTTGTTTTGAATATTTCTAACATTTGACAATTTACATGAGATCATTTACATCATGAGTAATTTGAAAATACAGAATTGCTTGGAATCCATGTCATACGAAAAAATGTAAGCATAAAGTATCCAAAGTGTTATGTTTTTTAGAATATTTATTGAGAAAGACCACGTTTCATCGTAATTCTAATTTTTTAATTATATTCTTTAGAATTTGAATTTGCACGAAGATCTGCAGACTAGAATTTTTACGGTCTAAGATTACAATGCCGAAATAAGGTCAGGCCTGAGCAGTTCTGCCAGTTCATTTGCGGCAACTTTACCACCCTTCTGCTTTTCCGAATTGTCTTCTGCTTATTCTTTGTGTTCTTACTTTTCTTCTTTTTTCTCTTTAAGCAATTCTCTTCACTGCATTCACTTCTGCTATTGTCTTCTCTTCCTTCCCCGTTCTCTTTTTTTTTGAATCCCTAGACGATTGTGGCTGTGAAACGGAAACTGTACTGCGCAGACAGAGGCAAGTATCTACCTTATTTTAAATGTGATGCATTGTGCGAAAGAGTTCCTAACAATAATACAATGCGTTGTATGAAGTTAATGAAATTTTTATTACGCAGCAGAATCTTAATTGCTCGAAATAATTGGAAGTAAAATAGTTCGAATAATCGAACATTCAAATAATTAATTTCGGAAATTATTTATAAATTGAACGAAAAACTTTCGAATAACAATAAGCATTTATTGTATTGTTTGTATATATTAAATAGAACAGGAATTCCGAGTGTAAAGGGTGAACAGCGTTTTCTATCGCTTGCCACGTGGTTGTCACACGCCTCCGCGATCTATGCAACGTAATGTCTTTGTTGATCGAGTTGCCTATAGTTAGGGGAACGTATAAGAGTCAGCTAACCCTCTGTTGCGTGAATTTTTATGATGAGTTAAAACAAATATACATTGCTATTATTCCATCTGAATGTTGGTGTGATAATGAAATAAATAATGATGTTTATTACGTTTCATAACTATTCCCATATGGGAACTTAATATATGTATATTAACTCACGAAACTATTTGAATACTTACCATGAAATACTTTATTAATTATAATAAGTATATTATACAACTCTTACTGAAATATTACAAACATTCTAAGGAGACATGACTCTTTAGATCGTGCAGATAAAGTTTGAAGGAAATCGAAAGATATATACAATAGTTATGAATAATTTCTTATAAACATAAAGTTTGCTGAAGCAACAAAACTATTTGAACATAGAATTGAGTATTGTTCATGTGTCCTAAAACATCTGAACTTCCTGAAAGGTAGAGAAAATTAATTGTCAAGTGGCGTAAAATTTAGTCATTTAAGAAGACTCATTCCCTAAATATTCTTTCATTTATTATTGATCTTCCTGTATGTTAAAATGTATGTCTCTATATTTAACTTCTGCTTCCTGAATTGCTTTATTCCAAACAGTAGTTATAATTTTCGTTTTCTATGAAAATCTAGGTGTTCAATGTATAAACAAAAATATTTTTCAACATTGTAACCTATATGTCACTTATTAGTTTTCATCGATTCCTATCGGTCTATCGTTCGAGTCTTTATATCTCATACTTCTGACATACATTGCTCTGTGGCACACCCATTGAACATTCTAATCATTCTTGCCATCTGTAATCGAGAACCGCACATCTTTTCCAGTGAAGACCAATTGATAGAATCGTCTGTTACACTGTGAGAAGAAAAGACGTTTCACCTGACGAATAAATTCATTTCTTTTTAAATAAGGAATAAGGAAATTAAATATTATATCTTATAGTACTATGTGCTAAATATAATTATACAACCTCTACTAAATTTTTAATATTATGTCAAATTCGTAGCAAAGATTTCAAACAGGTGGTCATTTACGAATATAACCTTCATTCAATACCTTTGACTTTAAATTAAATATTATTACTCTGTTTTATTAAGTGTAACACTTTATTATACATGTAGACATGAAACGAGCGTAGATTTCGTTTTCTAAATAAATTATTAACAAAAACTTAGTATTGAATAATCCTAAGAGTTTCATTTTCCTTGCATTGCACATACGAACTGTTAAAATAAACAATAATAATCGTACAAATAATACAAGAAATATGAAAATTAAATAAACAAAAATGTTGTATTAAATCTCCAATCGATCTCGCATATGATTATACACGTACCTTGGTACAAATTCTGTAAAAGGGCTACACATGGCTACTGTAATTAATAGTTTAATATTTATTCTCACTGTTTTTTTGCAAATAATTTTGATGATAGACATTAATTTACAGTCCGTGTGACTGGATCAATACTGTCTCATGTGGTACGCTCATTCATTGGCTGTACGTCCGATGTGGCATAAGAGACGTGTAATACGGACATACAACTCAACGCATGTTGTTCGTACGACTGCATGCATCGAAATGCCACAGAAAGACATTGCTCTACATGCATGCGTTCACGGTATTAAAGTTTGCGAAGTTTATTTATATGGAGATCGTCAACAGCAATGGAATAGAAATTTACGAAATACATTCGCGTTGATCGAATCTGCAATTCAAAGTGAAGAAACGTATGTATTCAACGTTTGGCAACAATATTATAATAGCACACAGTGAAAGTAAGACACATGGGTTTAAGGTATTGAAATGTGTCCATTATATGTTCTACACAGTAAAATTGCAAGAGACAATTATATAACTGCTTTTTTTTTTAAATCAACATGGAAAAGTTAATTTAGTGTACCTAAAGCATTTAATACATATTATTTAAAAATGTTTGCATAGATATATACTATTCGGAGAACTTCAAAAATATTTTATAAAAAAAATATAGTAGATATAAATATAATACTATTATACTATAATAGATATAAATCAATAGATTTAATTTTATAAAGATTCATAGGCACATGGCACCTGTCACGAATTTTTCGTTTTCATTTTTTAATTAAAATCTTACTATTAGGATGTAGCAAATCTTTGTACAACATAGAGATTAAAAAGGTCTAAATTTCGAGAAGCAGAAATATAATTAATTTAGAAGACAATAGTAAAAAGTGAAGTATCCAATAATTCAGGAACAATACGTATACAAAATAAGTATGTATACTTGAATGTAATATAAAGACAATGGTTCCATTAAATGTTATCTTTTCTGCACATCGTTTCTCGTTTTTTTTCTCCATGTTCTCCATGCATGTTCAGAAAAAAGAGTGCATAGAGTTCCGTACGGAAAATTGCATTTCACCTGTCTTGGAATAAAAATATTCTATTAAATTAAATATTCCGAACAAATTGCACATGTTCCACTATTCATACCACAACTGGTTAAAAAACAAAGATAAACAGATTAACCCTTTGCCTTGCAATACCACGCTAGACTTGTGGTGAAGATTTCAAACAGAATTTAAGAAACATAGATATTAATCAATTCTGATGAATTCAAATGTAATATTATTTTTCCCATATCAATTATTATGTTTTAGAGCAACGGTGGACATAGAATATGCATAGGATTTTTCTCCCTTTCCAATACATTATTAATGACAAAGTTGTTGTATTGATCACAGTTGAGAAATAAATCATAGGGTAAGGGGTTGAATGACAGATTTCTGTTGACGAAAACAGGAACGAATGGAAAGACAAAAATTGAGAAACTAACCAATCAGGTGATATAAGAACTGATGTAGAGTTAAATAAAGATAAACAAATTGAACGATGAATATTTATTAGCGAAGACAGAAACGAAAGAAAAGATAAAAATTAAGAAAGTGATTAATTGTACAATATAAGAGTAGATATAAAGTTAAATAAAGATAAACAAATTGAACGAAAAAAATTCATTAGCGAAGACAAATAGAGAAAAAGAGGAAAATTAAAAAACTGATCAATCGGGCAACACAAGAACTGATATAAAGGTGAATAAAGATAAACAAATTAAACGATACATTTTTGTTAGCGAAAGCAGAAACAAAAAAGACAAAAATTGAGAAACTGATTAACCGAACGATACAAGAACTGATATAAAGCAAAATGGACGAAAGAAGATCCCGAATTTTTAATGAAATTTTAAAATTGGTCAATTGATCGGTCGTGGTACGATTTAATGTTAACATTCATAGTGATCTTACTGATATAGCGATCGTACTCATGTGAAAACAAATGAAAAAGGACACGCTAAAAAAGCGGATAGAAGCGCGCAGCATCCGAACCGCGCAGGCTTCACTCTCGCAGCATCATTGGAGACAATCTTCGTAGCAGTACCAGAAATTCTCACGGTGTACGTGGAAGTCAAAGAACGTGCTGTATCGTTACGGAAACCAGCTATAAAGAATCATCTTCGTCCGTCTTCCTCTTTTTTTCCGCCGTTGTACCTGTGTGAGAGTGCGTACATACACGTATACCGGGAAGTGCTGTAGCTTGGTCATCATTCGAAAGAAGAATAAAACCTTATTGATTGCATTCTAAGTTAAAACACGATCCGTCGGGGAATCAATTTCTATTTTCAATGGCAGATCACGATAACATTTACGACGACGAGGTAATTAATCGATTCACTTCATATCTAATCGAAACTTTTATCACACAGACACTTGAAAGAAACTGATTGTCAGGGACAACAAGGATGCACCTCGAGGCCCCAATGTTTCTGTAATCGTTTCCGCGACCACTTCAATCGAATTTCATTTATAAAACAGCGCAGCTACTAGGATTTTACAGGATCGTATTGGTTCACGCGTGTAACTTGTAATTATTCTGATACTTTAAGAAAAATTCATTCTTTTTGTTTGGGAATTAACACGATACCAAAATTCTTGGGTGAAATAAGACGGGACTGCAGTTAAAGATTGTGGGCAATCGTTTTGTTTAATCGGTGAATTAATTGGTACATAGCAAAGATCGGGGAAATTAAATTTCTGTTAATATTGATATGTTTATTAAAAGCGGATTTGTTTATCTCAAGTACAAGTTTACATTGTCCGATGAAATAAACGCAATTACGCTGCCTGTTAATTAAAAGTAAATAATACAATTCAAACGTGGCAAGAACAGTTTATTTGTAGTAAGAAACAGTTTGTTATTTTTACTAAAATTATAATAATTTTTACGTTTATTACAAAATGCTTTTTAGAGCGTTAACAGGAACATTTTATAAAATAAAGAATTCACAACTGTAATCGTTAGAGAGTACAGACATGTCAGTGATGTGACGGTTCGGTGCCATGAATATCCGCCGGTGTCAGTGATAAAAATAATTGTGTTGTGTTTTCTGTTTCGTGCTCTATACTTTGCGTTTTACGTATATCCGTTTCAGTACATGATTTTCGTTTCGGGGTTGTTTCTGTATCTGAGTTTATTGGAATTCGATAGTTTGCTGCAAGCATATAGCTGCAGAAAACGTTTTCATTGCTTATATCTTCCTTATACTTCAGTGACTATGGAATAAAATAGATATACATGTACATACTTATTTTTCATTTTCATGGAGTTAAGGAAAATTGTTAATCCAAAAAGAATTTTATTTCCTTAAGGAGTTCTAAGAAATTTTTCATTATTTTAAATACGAAAAACATTTAGGATCATTCTTTTTCTTAGTAGAAAATAGTAAATTGTGTGTCGATTCGGTTCTTTTCATTGGTATACAATATCGAGTCAGATTTGCGAGGAAAATCTCAATTGCAAGTTAAAGAAAATAAATGTCAACCAATTTCTTTGAATTCGAATTAAACAGTATTTTTCTGTTATGAATTTTTATGCTAAAAGGTAAACCTGGATATAGATGAATTGGGTATTTTACTTTGTTTCTGGTAAATTATTAATGATAAACTAACAGGTGCAGGTGTGACAGAAGTCAATAGGGCAAGGTATTAACCAAGTTTGGTACATACACATAAACTTCCTTCTTAGATCTTTTTTTCTTTTATACTTACGGTAGTTATTATAATTTATTATTGGAAAGACAAACTAAGTCTAATGTTAACGGTTGTATAAATTTTCTTTAATACTCTCACGTGTCAAATTTCCGATAATAAAGTTCTTCTAATCATAAAGAAATTCGTACAAATTAAAGATTTGAAAAATTCTTTCAAATATTGCTGTATACTGAAAGTTATATTAGAGACTAGTAAGTATATATATATTAATTATTCCACACAATTAATAACAAACTTGTAATAAGTATTCCATTTAATTGTTAACTAAAAATGATCTGTTTTAAAAGTAAATGCTTACAAAATTTGTAAGTAATTCATAAATAAATCCGAATGGTCATAGAATCGTCAACTTTTTTAGTGGTAATTTAGTATTTCTCAATTTTGGATTTTATATAATTTGTTTGTATAATTTTTTAAATATGCTGGTGTTACCTCCACATTCCCAGTACATGAAAACGCAGCCGTTTTTATTGCATCTGAATATGTTAAAATGAACTGTTGTGTATCAATGCCAACTGTATTCATGCAGACTCGAATAGTTGCGGAAGCATCATTATGCTTTATTCCGGACATTAAATTTCTTGGTTCGAACTTTTCATTTTCCCCAGATGGTACGGTCATTAAACCAGAAAATTCCACTTTATTTAAAAACCACTTTATTCTGGTATTTTATATCTTTTTATTCATATTTTGATAACACATTAACTATACTGTTTTATTTTTATGGACATTACTTCCCGAATTATTTTATAATATTTCTCTCATTCCCTCAGTTATAGATTTATCGATAGAAATTTACTTATAATCTGCGAAACTTCTGGTCAAGTTTTATACCGCTCTTACAAATTAATAACAATCCTTTTCTCTTCCATGGCCGTTTTTAAACGTTCATATTGAATTCTATAATGATAATATCGAATGATGTTAAATTTTTCATATTATTTATTTATTCTAAAAACTCTCTTGAAGACTAAATGTTTTATATTCCAGTTTCAATCTTATTAATAATTTCTAACAGTTTTTAAATTGTATCGTCAATTTTAAGGATATGTTAGAATCTGTTCTAATAAATTTTACAGAACTTTTTACACTGTTTGGGTTATAACAGTACTTATAAGATTTTGTAATTTTATAAGTACTTGCATTATTTAGTCAAAATGGGGCCATAGTTGTTATATGATATATTTTATAGCATCTTCTATTATATAATCTAACAATCATAAAATATAAGATTAATTATAAGACCTGATGAATTGTTGACATTTGTAGAAAAAAAGGGTAGCTGACATTAGCAAATACAACATTATCCTAGGGACTGCGTCGTAATTAGCTGCCCCAAGTGACCCAGAAACCGATTCCCAAATACAAGAACGCATGGCTCACGACAGGGTTCCATTAACTCGTGATTCAGTTGAAGTCTTCTGAAAAATAAATAACGTTCAACCGTTAGTTTTCGCGAGAGCTTGTTTCGCGCTATAGGAAAAGTCATTTGTCATTGACTTATTTTTTATTACCCTTTGCTGCGAAATTTCAACGCGTTGTTAACACATCGCGGATAAATGGTATTTCGCGTTTTTCGTGTAGTTTTAATACGTAACAATTTCTATTTCACTCATTACCTTACAATAACAAGTCAGACTCATGGGGAAGATTTTAAACAGAACTTAACGAGCATGAGCATTACTCGATTCTTTTGAATTCAAATTAAATATTATTCTTGTGTTATCAATTATTATACTTTGAAGTAAATATTGATATAGAATCTGCTCACCACTTTATTCTTTTTCTTACTAAATTATTAATGATAAAGTAGTTGTATCGATCATAGTTAATTTATGTATTTAACTTAACAAATTTTTTATCGATAGGTAGTTTGAAAATAGAATACTTCTGGATGAGATGGCTCTGTGGGTGAGATGTTGTAGCTATTTTGTTGCATTTACTACAATATTTATTAACTATACGTTTGTTTGCTATGATGCACTTCAATGAAGCGAATAACTATTGTTCACAACCATACATTTAATTTATAAAATTCACAATCTCCATTTAGGTAAAGAAGCTTTCTTCTTTATCATGAGAGGTCGGTCATCTCATTTTAAATTGTCAAATATCTACATTTTCAATTGTTTTTAGAGGTATACTGAATCTTGCACAGAAGCCTCTTTAACTATTCTACTTCTATCTATATGCTTTCACAGCGAGAAACAGAGTCCTTTATATTTGTAATATATCTATAAATAAATCAAGTTAAATTGTAAAAAAAGCTTGA